ATGGGCGTAAACATCTAGTTTGTTAAGTCTGAGCAGTCTGTGACTCTGAGCAGTAGTGCCAGACTCTTGTTTGTGCTAGCTCCCTTCAGAGACCCAGGTGAGCGCTTCTTTACCTGACATGCCTATGTGTGGATTTTTGTTTTGTTGTCATTGGATTGTCTGGTTTGAGTTTTTCTTATGTCGTAAATACATAGGTAAAGTGGAGAAAATTTACACCCTGGAAAAAACAGATTTTGAGTAGGCTTTATCTATTCCTTAAGTTGAGTTCATCTTTTGCCCTAGAGCAAAGCTGTCATGATGTGGGGAAGTTGGGAGAGTCGCATGATTTTGGAATGAGACCTGGAAGGTAGAGGAATTTGCATCCTTGCAGTGGTTCTGGAATTGGAAAATCAATGTCATATTTAAAGCAGACAACGTCTTGACTATATAGAACAAGAGAAGCTAAATTTTAACTGTTATCATCAGATTGCCAGGAAAGAAGACAACACTTTAAATAATTTACTCTTTCCTCTTTTGAATTTAAAACAAATATCTTTTAAAATAAAAAAAAAAGAGTATCTTTTAAAATAATTTCTGAAATTTCAGAGGCAACCATGAGAGCATAGATTTATAGCCTAAAAAAAAAGAATTGGGAACTGTGGTCAGTGCATTGGCAAACAAGGTTAAATACATATGAGAGGTAATGTATTCTTGAAATGTCTAGAAGAACAAAACACACTGATGGTGACTCTGTATAGATAATCTCCAGATGTACTTTTCTGAATAGACACAGGACAGTATAATTGGTGGGTTTTTACTTAAGAATTAAATTTGTTTGTTTTTTAAATGGNAGACAGATATCCTGGAGTGAGAAGTCAAGTGGACCTTATGAAGAATCACTACAAACAAAGCTAGTGGAGGTGATGGAATTCCAGTGGAGCTTTTTCAAATCCTAAAGGATGTATTGTAATGAACATTGACCTGAATGAGATAATCTGTATGTTTTATACTCTACTAAAAGTGAAGAATTTCTTCATCCAATCCTCAGAGGATAGGAGACATTGTACTTCATAGGCCCTTATTACTGCTGACAATCAGACTGACTTTGGGCTTTGACCTGAAGGTCAGTGGCTCTGGATTCTGCACTAAGGATTCTGTGAAAATGCTGCAATCAATATGCCAACAACTTTGGAAAACTCAGCAGTGGCCACAGGACTGGAAAAGGTCAATTTTCATTCCAATCCTAAAGAAAAACAATGCCAAAGAATGTTCAAATTACCTCACAATTGCACTCATCTCACCTAACAAATGTTCAATATTCTCCAAGCAAGGCTTCAACAGTACATGAACCAAAAACTTCTAGATGTTCAGGCTGGATTTAGAAAAGGCACAGGAACCAGAGATCAAATTGCCAACATCCCTTGGATCACAGAAAAGCAGGAGAATTCCAGAAAAACATCTACTTCTGTTTCATTGACTATGCTAAAGTCTTTGACTATGTGGATCACAACAAACTGTCAAAAATCCTTAAAGAGATTGGAGTACCAGACCTCTTTACCTGCCTCCTGAGAACTTTGTATGCAGGTCAATAAACAACAGTTAGAACCGGACATGGAACAACAGACTGGTTCCAAATTGGGAAAGGAGTACGTCAAGGCTATATATTGTCACCCTGTTTATTTAACTTATATGCAGAGTATATTATGCAAAATGCTGGAATGGATGAAGCACAAGCTGGAATCAAGACTTCCGGCAGAAATACAATAACCTCAAATATGTAGGTGACACGGCTCTTATGGCAGAAAGCAAAGAGGAACTAAAAAACTTCATGATGAAGGTAAAAGAGGAGAGTGAAAAAGTTTGCTTAAAATTCAACATTCAAAAAATGAAGATCATGTTATCTGGTCCCACCAATTCATGGCAAATAGAAGGGAAAACAATGGAAATAGTGAGAGACTTTATTTTGGGGGGCCCCAAAGTCACTGCAAATGGTGACTGCAGCCATGAAATTAAGACACTTTCTCCTTGGAAGGAAAGCTATGACAAACCTGCTGCTCAGTCACTTCAGTTGTGTCCGACTCTGTGCGACCCCATAGATGGCAGCCCACCAGGCTCCCCATCCCAGGGATTCTCCAGGCAAGAACACTGGAGTGGGTTGCCATTTCCTTCTCCAATGCATGAAACTGAAAAGTGAAAGCGAAGTAGCTTAGTCGTGTCCAACTCTCAGTGACCCCATGGACTGCAGCCCACCAGGCTCCTCCGTCCATGGGATTGTCCAGGCATGACAAACCTAGACAGCATATTAAAAAGCAGAGACATTACCTTGCCGACAAAGGTCTGCCTAGTCAAAGGTGTGGCTTTTCCACTAGTCTTGTATGGATTGTGAGTTGGACCATAAAGAAAACTGAGTATCAAAGAATTGATGCTTTTGAACTGTTGTGTTGAAGAAGACTCTTGAGAGTCCCTTGGACTACAAGGAGATCAAACCTGTCAATCCTAAAGGAAGTCAGTCCTGATTATTCCTTGGAAGTACTGATGCTGAAGCTGAAGCTCCAATACTTTGGCCACCTAATGTGAAGAACTGACTCATTAGAAAAGACCCCGATGCTGGGAAAGATTGAAGGTGGGAGGAGAAGGGGATGACAGAGGATGAAATGGTTGGATGGTATTGCCGACTCAATAGACTTGAGTATGAGCAAGCTCCAGGGGTTGGTGATGGACAGGGAAGCCTGGTGTGCTGCAGTCCATGGGCATTGCAAAGAGTCGGACATGACTGAACTAACTGACTGAATATTCTCCTAGATGCTCTGATGTAAACTGAACTGTTTCATAGCTTCTGGAGGCCCAGCCCTGGGATGTCTCGGATCAGCACCCCCAGGAATCTAGGAGTCAGACGCCTGGGTCCCGATTTGCTTGGTTGTCTGGCTCTGCAGACTGGGACTGCTCTCACACCGCACTCCCCACACCCTCACCCCGTGTGGTGGGGGAGGAAGGGGATGCAAAACAGCTGTCTGCATCCACATCATTCCAGTCAGTGAGATCTTCTAGAAAGGTCTGCTTAGAAGGTTATCAGCTGTCCAGCGCTGTTTCTTCATGTATGCCCTTTCCACTATTTATGCTTTGGGGATGCTGGCTCTGTATTGTTTGATCTCCTATCCCAGTAGCGTCCCAGAGGCAGGTGCCATATTTGTAAAGATTGAACATAAGACCGCAGGCTCTTCCCAATGTTGGGCACACACAGGTGCTAGTTCCTTCTCATGGGATCAGGTTTTCCCATCTTTCCTTCCCTCTTTCACCACTGTCATCCTCGTCACTGCCTGACTTCTCTCCTGTTCCCATCACTCTGCAACCTTCCTCAATTGGAATGATGGCAGAGGGCGGTAAAGCCAGCTGTGGGCAACAGTGTGCACAGAAGGGGAATTTTTAAGGCAGATAAGTAGCTGCTATTTGCCAGAGCACCCTACTGGAGCACAAAGTCTGTGGAAATACGGTATTAGCAGGTTACCAGTTGGAGCACAAAATTAAATTTTCACAAGCAAATATTTGTCCATAGTAATTTAAACTATTTTTTATTCCGTTTACACATGAGGGGGCAGTATGGTACTATAAAGCAAATGCTCTGTTGAAATTGTTTATTTCTGTTGGTATATGATAGCTTTTAGATGAGAACTTGTAGATTGTGAATATAATTCTGACATGTTGGTTAGCTAGTAAATGTGATACATATATGTGGTACCCTCACTTGTATACACAGGTCATACACCTATTTTTATTCAGATGCAAAAATAATAATCTCCGTGCAACAATGGGGCTTTCCCTCAGTGCCTTTTATTATGAGTTTTATATTTATGGTTTATTTAATGCTAGCTGACTTTCTCCAAGTATCTACGTTTAGAACATCAGTGCTCTGGAGATACAGTGTCTGTAAGGGTGATGTCTAAATATTTTATATTAGGACTGCATTGAAGGCTGAAGGGACTCCAGTGTTGGGGGTGGGAAGCTTCTGAACTCAGGTCTTGGCAGCAATGGAAATTTTATTATAAATCACCTCTATGATATGCTTCCCTATATGGCACAGTTTGGAGCGTCCCAGGTGGCACTAATGGTAAAGAACCCTTTTGCCAATGCAGGAGACTGAGAGACATGGGTTTGATCCCTGGATAGGGAAGATCCCCAGGAGGAGGGCAGGGCAACCCACTCCAGTATTCTTGTCTGGAGAGTCCCATGGACAGAGGAGGCTGGCAGCCTACAGTCCATAGGGTCACAAAGAGTCGGACAAACGACTTAGGACGCACGCATGGCGCAGCTTGCGATTCTCAAAGAAAAAATGTTGCTAAGGAAGGAATCAGCACATTTTAATTAATGTTGTTGTTGCTGACAGATGAATGACACTGTAGATAATGAAGGTGCTGATGTTCTAGGTTTCCTAAATAGAGGGGAAGTATTTAAGGGTGGTTGGAGGGTATTAAACAAATTGATTGAACATACAGAGCATTTTATGAAAAATGTATGTGGACTCTGAAAGGTAATTTCATAAGCACAGGCTATTTTTAAATGTGTAAAAAATATTTGCAGTCGTATGTTTCTGTTTATGTAGTTTGAAAAAAAAATTGAAACTAGCGTTCTGGCATAAATATAACCCTGTGTGAAATTGAATGGGATATTTGTTTTTAGTGTTTTATCCTGGTTGCTTCCTTTGTGGATGAAGAGCTGTGGCATTGTCAACATCTGGTGGAGATGATTAGACTTGTTTAGTTTGGGCATGACTCTATTTTGAAATATAATGATTTGATGTTGCTTTTACTTACTGTTAATGAGAAATTTTATTTTGAAATCTTCTGTTAAAAAATAGATAAAAGATTTATGACTTATGCCCAAAATTTAAAGGCACGGATTTTTGGCTCCAGCAGCCCATTTTGGGTAGACTCCAAATCAAATGTTGTTTGGGATTGGTATACTGTTGCAAAACCCAAGTTTCTGTTCATGGAAAACAATTAATGTCCTTTGTGTTTCGATGGCAGATTTTTAGGACCCTGCCTGATGCCACATTGCCTGAGCCAGTCCCCCTGTCAGCACCCCCAAATGCTCCGCCAAGACAATCGAAGAGGCAAGGCCAGAGGACTAAGAGACCCGTGGCTGTATATAACCTCTGTCTTGAACTAGAAGATGGTAAGATGTTCATTACATTTTTCTTCTTGCCTTTGTCCCCAGGGGAGGCCATGGTTTCCCATCCTTTGTGTTTTTAAACTTCCTTCTACCTTCAAGATTATAATTTTTTGAGATTAACAGGGAGGGTAAAGCTTTTGTGTCAGGGAGAGCATGCAAAGTTTCAGTTTGTGTTTGTCTTTGTTATGCACGGTTCTTTTTTTACTTTGAAAAAGACAGCTTACGTTTCTTTTTTGGGAGGCTTGTGTGACCTCCTGTGAGGTTACATAACCCTGAGACAAATGCAAGAGGAACTAAAATGAAAGCAGGTCTTTGGCGAGAGGAGCAGATCCCGTCTGATGTTCAGTGCATTGAGATCAAAGGCGCAGGTCATGGTTGCACTGGGTCTGTGCTTCTGTACCATCCTCGCCCCAGTTTTCTGACTGTCTCCTGAGGCAGGTGTCTTATCCGGTGGCAGAGGTGGCAAATTGACCACGGTCGGGGCTTGCCTGAGTGGACCAGGCTACACGGGGCTCTGATCAGTGGAAGCCCTCACTTTCCATCCAAACCACCCTGTTCCAGCTCACTCTTATCCTGTGGTTGCCACCTGTCTCAGCATTGCCACCTGTTTCAAGTTGGAATTTTAAGCAGTGATCCTTACAGAACAAGGCTGTGAGCTCATTAGACACACCCAGTTGCTGACTTGTGACCATGTGGTCAGTGGTGTGGAGAATAAGATTGAAACTACCAAGGTTTTATTGGTTTGGCGGTATGAGCTGATTGTCAAAGGGAGGGAAGAAATGATGATAGAAACAAATCCAGTACCTCCATCATACGCAGCTGTATAATCAAATATCCACATAGCTGATATCCAAAGATCCAAGCCAGCAAGTGACATGTGTCTTTAACTCCCAGGGGGTCTGTGCAGAAGGACTCAGAATGCCTCCTGTAATAACATTGAGGGCTAAGGCGTTCCAATATTCTTTTAAAGTATTTAAGACATACATGCATGTGATAAGTGTTAGTTTTACAGTCATATCCATATTTTCCAGAGTAAGGACATGATTTGTTGTGTTACTGCCTTAGCCATGTCCAACTCTTTGCAACCCTATGGACTGTAGCCTGCCAGGCTCCTCTGTCCATGGAATTCTCCAGGCAAGAATACTGGAGTGGGGAGCCTTTCCCTTCTCCAGGGGATCTTCCTGATCCAGGGATTGAACCCGGTTCTCCCACATTGCAGGCGGATTATTTACCATCTGAGTCACCAGGGAAGCCCTATGATTTAAAGCAACCTCTAATTTTGGAGCCGCCTTTTAGTCCTTGGTTTCAGCTTCTGAGTCCAGCTAACTTTCTATCCTCTCCTCTTTTTTTTTTCCCCTCACATTCACTGTCTCTCCAGAGTTGCTAATAAGGAGTAAAGCTGACTGGTTTGAATTGCACCTTGCCTTTTATCTCACTTGTCCTTTGGTGGAAGTGTTAAAAGATTAGTGAGTGAGTCAGCATATGTTGGAAAGTAGGAGGGGGAAAGAAATCAAGGTGACAGGAAACAGTACCTACACAGGCTCATCAACTTTGAGCAAAATCGAATTGGCTCTCATTTCATAAAAGAAATGATCAAGGAGGGACCTTTCGTTTTAGAGTTGCATCTACTTGGGGGGCAGGTATTTTTAGCAACTGAATCAGAGTATCCAGTCATGTGAATATAGTTTACTAATCTTTTGATCATTGGGTTGTTGAGTGATTATTTTTAATGGGTAAGAAACTGCTGAAGTGGTATTTAGCATATTTTTTATGGATATATTCAAAATGGTGTACAATCATAGCTTTTCTGATTTTTAACATAATTCTTTAAAATTTTTAATTATAAGGAAAAAAGATTGACAGATATTTAATTCCTTTAGTCTGTTTTTATATTCACTATTTATATGATGTTTTAATCTACATTTTGTCTTCTTATAAACTTTTTGTTAATTCTTGATTTCAGCCTTTGTTTTTTTTTTTGAATATTGTTACGATCACAAAAACTCATGATTTTGGTCATGGAGTGATTTTATTTTATCTCACAGGTCATAAGATATAAAGCAACTGAAAACTGTTATTTATCTTCTCCCCTCACACCAACTATTTGTAGCTCAGCTTTAGTGAAACTCAAATTGTGTAAAAAAGAATTGTTTCAGAGAGAACAAAGTGGGAGCCATATTTCGCATATTCTAAAAAAGGAAATAAATGAAGAGATGGTGAAAATGCTTTTGAAAGGAAGCATACAGAAAAAGAATACTAAAAAGTTTTGTTATTGATTACTTAGCATACTGAAAACTCTACCATTTCAAAAAAAAAAAACTCTTCATATCACCAGGACTAAATGTTTTTCAGCTCTATTTGGAATTTTCAAAAGTTTAATATTTTTATGCATTTTTTCTTATTTATGGTCATTGGGTCACTTCTCATGTTTATCTAGTTTTGGTTAAAGTATGCGTTATAACCAACTTTGGTTGATTTATTTTTCCAAATTGTTTGGTTTGAGTCCAGTAAAAAATTTAAATGCAAGTGTGTTTCCACCCTTACCCTCCATTTATTCACTGTGGTACAAGTTAGATTTAACAAAGTCTAGTACAAATAATTGTTTTTTTAAAGTTAGGTAATTTATTTGCCAAGATTCAAGGAATTAGTTTGGATGACTNAAAGTAATGTTTCTGCTTTTTAATATGCTGTCTAGGTTGGTCGTAACTTTCCTTCCAAGGAGTAAGTGTCTTTTAATTTCATGACTGCAGTCACCATGTGCAGTGATTTTGGAGCCCCCCAAAATAAAGTCTGACACTGCTTTAGCAAAGGTTTAATTGGCATTGACACATTTAACCATACTGCATACGTAGGCTCATTATTTTCCTGTTAATACGTGATTTAATGATATTAGACTTGTTATTTGCAGGAAACTTTGCAATTTAGTTTCCTAAGGACCTCTGTTGATGATTAATATGAACTGAAATGGATATAGTATCTAGCTAGATTTCTAGAGCAACTGTTAAATCTTCTCTGAAATTCTTATCTTATTATTTTGTAGAAGCCATATTGTTCACTTTAATATAGCATTTTATACTCTCAAAACCTTAAAGCTGAGTAGCTTTAGCTAAGTCAGTTGAGAAATAGTGAAATATGAGGTAGGCTGCTCAGTGCTAAAAAGTAGATGAAAAAATCAAAGACTCTTTATTTTATTCTCAGTTTATGTTCCTGTGTTTTTGTTTCCTCAGAAGTGGTAGTAAAGTACTTTAAAAAAGTTAATGTATGTTGTGTTTTTGTTTTCACCTGCCCACTCCAAATTTACATCCTTATTACCTCTTTTTTAATCACATGGATTTCAGATGTACATTATAATTTGGCATCTGTATACACTAGAGGTTAATCACCAGCACAAGTTAGTTATCATCCATCACCATACAGTTGACCTTCAACCCTTTCATCCACTTCCCAACCCTCTTTCCCTCTGATAACTGCTAATCTGTTTTCTGTATCTATGTATTTGTTTTATTTTGTATTTGTTGTTTATTGTTGTATTTATTTATTGTTTATTGTTGTTTTGTTTTTAAGATTCCATATGTGAGTGAAGTAATAGAGTATTTGTCTTTCTCTCTCTGGCTTACTTCATATAGTAAAATACTTCCAGGGTCCTTCTGTGTTGTCACAGACATCAGGATTCCATTCTTTTTCATGGCTGAGTTACATATATGCATATGCAGTATATATGGTACACACATATATCCACTCATCTGTCAGTGGACACAGGTTGTTTCCCGCCTCTTGGCTGTTATAAATGATGCTGCAGTGAAAATCGGCGTGCATGTGTGTTTTAGGATTAATGTTTCTGTGTTCTTCAGGTGAGTACTCAGAAGTGGAATAGCTGGGTCACGTGGCAGTTCTGTTCTTCATCTCTTGGAGAACTGTTTTCCCTACTGGCTGTAGCAAGTTACTCTCCCACCCGCAGTGCTCCAGGGTTCTTGTTTCTCCACAGCTTCTCAGCATTTTCTTGTCTTTGAGAACAGTCATTCTAACAGGTGTGTGGTGATACCTCATTATGGTTTTTGGTTTGCATTTTCCTCATGATGGATGATGTTGAACATCTTTTCATGTGTCTTTTGGCCACTTGTGTGTCTTCTTTGGGAAGTGCTCGTATTCTCTGCCTGTTTTAAAGTTTCGTTGATTTATTGCCTTACTTTTGGCTGCCCTAGGTCTTCTGTAGTTGCGGTGACTAGGGGTTCCTCCTCTTTGTGGTCCATGGGCTAGTCGTGGTGGTGGCTTCTCTTGAGGAGCAGAGACTCCAGGGCCTTTGGGCTTCAGTGGTTGTGGCTCACGGGCTTGTAGGATCTTCTCAGACCAGGCATCGAATCTGTTTTCCCCTGCATTGCAAGGCGGCTTTACACCACTGGACCACCAAGAAAGCCCTCAGCCCATTTCTAACATGGGTTGTTTTATTTATTTTTTGTTTTTATTGTTAATTCGTATGAGTTCTTTATATACGCTGACATTTTAAAGTGTTAAGCCTTATTGTATATGTGGTTTTCTAATATCTCCTTCCATTCTGCAGGTTTGCCTTTTCATTTTGTTGATAGTTTCTTTTGCTGTGCAGGATTATATAATCTCATTTGGTTATTTTGCTTCTGTTTCCCTTGCCTTTGGAGTCAGATCCACAAAAAAAATTAGCTATGACCAATGTCGGTGAGTTCACTGCCATTGTTTTCAAGGTATTTTATGGTTTCAGCTCTTACATTCAAGTGTTTAATCCATTTTGAGTTAATTTTTGTGTCTGGTCATTCTTTTGCATGTGGCTATCTAGTTTTCCCAGTGCTGCTGATTGAAGAGACTGTCATTTCTACATTTTATGTTATTTGTTCTGTAATTTAATTGTCCACGTGTGTGAAAGTTTATGCCTGGAATCTCAGTTCTGTGTTTTTGATCTGTGTGTCTGTTTTTGCTCCTGTACCATACTGTTTGGATTACTATAGCTTTGTAGTATACTTGGAAGAAAGGGA